TCCAACAATTTTGTATGAATATAATGCTGTTTGTATTGCACAACTCAAATGAGGTTATATCAAATGTGACAGGACGAATCATATTTCTCCAAAATTGTTTCATACACATGAGCTTCAGAAGAATGACGACATCGAGGTTCAACAAATTCGTTCAAGTGACAATGTGGCTGATTTATTTACAAAAGCACTGCCAACATCTACATTCAAGAAATTAGTTCACATGATTGGAATGCGTCGACTCAAAGATTTATAGTGATCAACGTCAGGGGAGTAGCTGTACTCCTTTTCATTCGCTTAGGTTTTATCCCACTGAATTTTTCTAGCAATGTTTTAATGAAGTAACATTTATCTTTAATACTCCAAAATAACTGTACTACTTTTCATTCGTTTTGATTTTTTTGTCCCATTGAATTTTTATCAAACAAAGTTTTAATGAGACATATATTTTGTAATGTGTCATTTAAGGGGAAATATTGTAAATAGTAAGTTATTGGTGAATGATAATTGTACCCCTACACCCCTATATATTATTACTATACGTATCCCTATTTATTCCCTATAAATATAGGGTTTTGATTTTTATTATAATACATACAAGTCTATTGACTTCTTTTATTCTCTTCTCTTTTTTCTCTTTTCATAACACAAGTGAAATTAATTTTTCAGTTTAATCTCAATATTGTAGCAAACTTTAAGCTGCCGCAAACAAGTATTACAGAACTATCCGCTTCGCAAAACACCACTTCCATCTCCTATACGAATTTTCATTTTCATCTGTTGGACGGAAATGCAACACCCTCCACCCATAAACCCTAACCCGAATTCGGACCCGTATTTCACCCATGCCTACCCAGGCTATTCCACAAATCCTAACCCTAATTCTGATCCCCTGAAACCACCCGTTTACACCGGCGTAGATACAAGTAGTACATTGGTTCAGCCGTACCCACCTGGGGTTGACCCCCCATATGTGCCCACACCTGTGACTCCAACGGTCACATACTCGCAGCAAGCACACAGCTTTGACCCACGACAGTCTGTGGTCGCTGCTGACACTGCCGTGCCTTATTATCCGGACCTGAATGCCGCCGCCGTGCAGAATTGGGTGGCAGCTATCTGGCAACTCGGGACAAGTCTTGGTGCAACTGTATGTCGATTTTTGTTCTCAAGTATTATTTTCATTCGAATTTTTTATGTGTTGAATTGATCCTAAATATTTATTTTGCTGAATTTTGATAAATGTTGTTCTGGTTATATAGACCGGTATGATCTATGTGTGTAACATTGTGTTTGGTTATATGTATGTGAATGTAGACTCATAGGTACATCGGCTGGTTAGTTATCTTGTTGCTAAATATTTTTCCTCTTGAGCATAAAGAAATTGGAAATTTGTTGTTTGCTGTAGTTAATTTTTTGCTGGATTTGCACTTCCGGAGCCATTTAATGTCTCCAGATCTGGGGGTTTTACATAATTAAGCATTTCTAGAACATTAACACCTGAGTTCTTGAAGATAATGTATTTGGAATATTTTTTTTGAAGATAGAAATTTTGATTGCAGATAAGTTATAATATATATTGTATTTTTTTTTTCATATTTGGACAGAGTTCTGAATCAAAGTTAGCGCTTGTCAACCATTTGTTATCTGTCTGATCAAATGCTTCACGTTTGTATTTGAAATTACCGTTGGTTTTCACAAGTCATCTTTCTTTCCGTACTCTCCAAATTTGAGTTTACTGACAACTAGGTTTGATTACATCACATAACCAATGAAAGGAATTGTAGAACGTGAATATATTGAATAAATGGAGCTATTTTTAGCAATTTGAATGATGGGACTTTAGGTTACAATGGCAAATCAGTCTATTTATTAGTCAAATATGGCAACCGTTAGATACCATGTAAATCAGTGCACAATACAGTTATTCTTATAGTTTCAACAGTTGCCTCAGCTATACGAGAATGCACAAAAATCTATTTCTTTTTTTCTGGATATATCCAATATTGCTGATCGAATTGTCTATTCACTGTCAATAGGTGGAATCACAAGCAAGATTTCTTTCTCTCTTTGTATGCTATTGCATTTTAATACCATTTTATAATAATTCAATACCTTTATCGTGTCGGTGGGTGGGGGGAGTATCAACCACGTCTTGTCCCAAAAATAAATAATGAGTTCCTTTCATCACTGCAGGGTGTAACGGTACCTTCCAGTGATACACAAAATTCGGTTCCTGCAAATACCAGTTCTACCTTTTGGACTAATCCAGAAGTTCAGTCTCAGAGAAATAATAATTGGAAAAGGACCCTGAAGAAGACGAAGGTTGTACAATCTGCATGGTGTGAGGTTTGCAAGATTGAATGCAACAGTAAGGATGTCCTTGAACAACATAAATTGGGAAAGAAGCACAAGAAAAATTTGGAAAAAATAAACAGAATAACCAGTACAGTTGTTGCTGCATCTGCACCGTTAATTGGACCACAAGAGAAACAGGACAAAGACAAAGCTACCGGCGGACAAAAAACACAGAAAAGGGCAGCACAGCGAACGGAGGATTTAGAGACAAAACGAAGAAAAGTTCTGGAAGGAGGTGCAGCGGCTGATGCTGTGCGTGCATGTGTTTACTGTAATGTGGTTTGCAACAGTGAGACAGTGTTCAACCATCACCTTGCTGGTCAAAAACATGCTACGATGGTGAAGAAGCATGCAGTTGCTGGTGCTACATGAAACGCGGATAGTTGGCGAACATTTCGAGTCAAATGTATATTACTTATTTTCCTTTTGGTTTTATAACTTTTATTTTATCGTTTTCCACATTCTTAGTTGTATGAGATGATATAAATGAACTGCCATTTCACTTAAATAATTTAATACAATAATAGATTTTTGTCTAAAATTCATTTGTAAACATTGTTTTTTTGCTCTTTTGGATCGTTCAACTGTACATGCTTCTAGTTTTGGAATGCACTCGTTTTCCTTCTACAGGTTTATGATGCTTAACACTCTAGAAAGGTCGAGAGATTTGTAGTGATTGAGGATAAACAAGGTCAGTGCTCTTGCTGGTATTCTCCTGCTTCTCCGGCTTTTTCTTGATCAAACCCTTTCCGGTTTTTCTTCTGGTATTAGTATTCTCTTGCTATAGAATCTTTTCTTGGTCAAGCCCTTTCTAGTTTGCTTGCGGTAGAACAAAATTCACTTAGTACATAGTTTGGCTTTCTTTGATTTTGGTCGATGAAATCATACATTATGAGCACATCAAATGCAAGAGTAAATTAGCTTATTTTTATCATTAATGCAGAATGACAGATGTATATGTCACATAACTTGCATAAATTTAACACTCCAAAAACCAGTTATAGAAAGTGAAGAAATATTAGCAACATAGCAAGTGAATGAGATTTAAGGACACAAAAAAGGTTGAAGTGCATTTTTTTTGCTTATTTGGGCAGAAGGTTATGTAGCACAGACATTTCAATTAGGGTATGTCGGACACGAGTCGATACCGACTCTTTTCTAACATTCTATCGTAATCATTTTTCTTTTCAGATTATAAATATTATATATTGTTAATTCAAAATTATACTTTTTATATTAGAAATATCATATATTGTTAATTCAAAGTTATTAGCAAGTAATAAATAGATACTCATGTTTAAAAGATTTTAACAAGAAAAATTAATAACAAGTATAAAACTAAATTTATACTATATAACTCAAGAATTTTTAAGAATTTAATCAATGTGTCGGTGACGTGCGTGTCTATACTTTTTTTTAAAAATTGCATGTCGGCGTATCCGAAACATATCGTGTCATACACACGTGTCCGTGTCGGTGCATCATAGGCAGAAGAATTACTGACTCTAGTGCCCGCTTTAGATACAATAACTTTGACGTGTATTCCCGTTTTGCATATTGGTTTCGTGGTTAACAGCTAGTTCATAATATCCTCCTCTTTCTTTTGCTTTTGAGCTTATAACAACGCATGCTGCTGGTATTTCCCCTGCTTCTTTGTCTGGTAACCTGCAAAACTAGTCCTTTTTCAGTGACATTAGTTCTTATAGTAAGCTGGGAATCAAAGTTTGTGATAGATAATACCCTACAACGCCGCGTCTTCAACTGAATGGTGAGATAGAAGGATTGCCTTTAATTCAGCCGGAGCAACCTGTCAAATATATGTAAGAACCTGCTCGGATTTTTGGTTTTTGACAATGTTTCTGTACACAAAACTAAGCTTATATGTCTTGGTTGCAAATGCTTGATCGAAATACCAATTTTTGCGTTGATTTGAATGGCTTATTGGCAGGGTTATTGGGCCATTTTATGATACCTGGAATCCTTTGTATTTGATCAATTCTTTGATGCGATCCACAAGAAAAATATCTCCACCATCATCTATGTCGCCAATGTCACCTGTGTGGAGCCACCCTTCTTTGTCTATAGTCAGAGTAGTCTCATACTCATTCTTATAGTACCTGGAATTTTTTGCATAAATCCTTGAGTTGGGATCACACAAAAGAATACAAGAAATGGTAATCATTGTAGTGGTTGGCTTATACCTTTGATCACACACTGGCTTCCAACACAGATTTCACCTGGGCTGTTCTTGGGGAGAGACCGACCCCTTTCGGGATCGATAAACTTTACTTCCAGATTTGGAAGTATGAATCCCACTGAGTTTCTCTTTGCAATTCCATGGCCTTTATTTGGATCCCCATGCGTTAGTGTAATGCAGCTGTGCTCTGTCATTCCATATGCCTGGTAGTGAATCGTAAATGAAGTCAAAGAACACACTGGCAAATTTTTGTATCTGGTCTCATAGAATGTAAATACCATAAAGTGTGCATTACCTCTTGTACCTCAGCACCTGGAAATTTTTTTCTCGAATTCTGTAAGAATTTCTGGGGTCAGTGGAGCTGCTGCAGTCATGACGGACCTGAGCTTGAGTTTACTGAGATCAAATTCGTCGACTATGGGGTTCTTAACCAACTCCAAAATGATGGGTGGTACAATTGGTGCAAACGTGCAAATATTCAAGTTCGGAAATTCACCTTGAACTTAGTCCATCGAGCTCAATTTCATTTCAAGCATGTTCATGTATTACATGATCACTCCCACAATATTTTTCTGCTTGTAAGTATTCGACATAATATTTACGAGTTTGTCATCGTTAAAAGTAATTTTCAACCGAAAGAACATTCACTAGTTGAGATTGCTTGCTCAACTAACCTTTATGACCCACCTGTCCAAAAAGCCTAACTAGGTATATCACCAAGAATATTTTAAATTTATTAATATACTAATAACGGCTAATTTTCAGTTGAAACGGATTGTATTAACTAATCCCAAGAAAATTATCATCACACTCCCAATCCCAATCTTGAAATTTTTAATTGCACATTTTATTTTTATCACCTTTTTAACTTCTTATTTCCACCAACTTTTATCAATTTTATTTGTTAAAAACCAACCTCGAACGAGCTCCTATTCCCGTTCCAATAATAGTAGGACCCACTAAATTTAGCTCCCAAAATCACCATACTCACGAGAAAATACGATGGATACGTATTTACGATGGATACGTATTAGAACTATTCCTTCAAATCATAATATCTTTGCATAAATTAAATTAATATAGATATTTAGTTGGTTGAGATGTCAAATTACTAAGTCGGTTGAGATGTCAAACTACTTGAATGGTTCACGTTATCCAAGTCAACCCCCACCTCACCCCAAGCTCCATGGAAAAAAATTGAGTAAGATAGTTTATATATGCACACGTGTTTGAACCCTTTACTTAAATAGTTAAATCATAATATCTCCAAATAAATAAAGTTACGAACGTTAATTGGGTCGAGATGTCAACAACTTAAATGTTTCACCTTCTTGACGTCAACCCCAATCCTAATCCCAGCCTCTCTGTTTGTAGCATAACACGGTTTTGACCCAAAAAAAATGTTATATAATTATTGGTAATAATTAGTGTAATACTATTTTTGAAAATGTTGCACTATTTACTCAATCTATTGTTTGTATAAAAGTTAGTCCTGCAACATTTTAAAAAGAACAAAATAATCATAAGACCTTTCATTGTAATTGTCAAATCTATTCTATTTCATTGTTACGTGACCTTTATATTTTGGAAGTTTATAAAGTTAAATTTATGTTCAACTCGTGTGGGTGTTCATGATTATGAAGCGAGTCGTGTTTTTACGAGATTCATGTGCCATTTAATATGGATTTGAATGATTTATGTCGTTGGAGGTTGATTATGCAATTGTAATTAAAGACTGAGGACTAATTTGATATTTTAAGAATATGTGAGGACCAATACTGCGAAATTTCTTTAATATTTTCAATTTTGTTTGTAAATTTTTTTTTTTTTTTTTTTAAAGCTTTCAATAGATTCGGACATTAACTCAAGGGAGAACAAGAAACACAAAATATTTCTCTCCACTCACTCACCCGATCCAGAGAGATGCATTCAATTATCAGCCATTAATCTGTAAAGGCACCAAATTTGGTGAATACGTATATAGTATATACGTATAAATTTGCCAGTTGGAAAAGTGTCTGAATCTTTTACCTTCTTTACGTTCATTTATTGATTGATCGATTTTGTGTATACGTTGATGTCTTTGAGAGAATTAAATTGAGAAAAAGGAAACCCTAGGTTAGCCGATTGGGCAGGATTTATTGTGGGGCCATATAGAATTCAATGCGGCGGAATATATTGGAGGGAGGGAAAAACTGGATTCTTGAATAGCTGTGGTGGCGGATCTGATGGTCAAAACTGCATCATTGTTTACAAACAATTGTTCGGACCGAGTTTTGGAGAGGAAGAAACTTATTGGTTTTAGTGTTGTAGGTAGCTGGAGGTGTAGTGCAAACGGTAATTTTATTGATTTGAGGAGAGGGCAAGAGTGGGGAAGTGGATAGTATTGTAAGAGGTGGCGGAGAAGGAAGATGCAGCTGCACTTCTCACCTAGCATGAGAAGTATAACGATATCATCAAGCAGCAACGGTGGAAATAGCAATGGAGGTGGCGGGGATTTGATGAAGATCAAGGTCGCACCTCGCCACATCTCTTATCGCACACTCTTCCACACCATTCTGACTCTTGCATTTTTGTTGCCTTTTGTTTTCATTCTTACTGCCCATGTCACCCTCGAAGGCGTTAACAAGTGCTCTTCATTCGGTACTTCCCACATTTTACCCTTAATTTTTAATAAACACTTTTATACTTTTTATGATTGATTCCGTGATCTGTGTTACTTAGATCTTACTGGTATTTGTTGTTTATTTATTATACAGATTAGGGTTCTTTTGCTTTGTTTGTCAAGATGTTGCACTGTATTGTTGGAACCGCTTCAGTAAACTGGGTAGTCATAGATTGATTTGTTCAAGTTGCATACAATTATGACATTTCTTATTCGTGATTGTCCAACTATTTCGGAGATTCATTTACTCTGGTTTTTCAGTAGGTGGATCTAAATGATTAAGGACAAGCAGCTGATACAAATAGATTTTGGAGAATTTAAAAAGTGAATGGATTTTGGTTATCGATTCTATTTTAGAAATGCAGTTTATTGAATATTATTCTAGCCGTTGGCTATTGCAACCACTCTTTGTGCTTCTTTGTTAAAATTAATTTTTTTTTTCAACCTTTATCTTGGCATGTCAAAACCAAATTTATGGCCAAGCCCAAAGTATATGATCTGGTACTAGCTCAAAGCTGTTGAAATATTTGAGGTGATCTACTGTACATTTGAGTGCAACTTTCGGACATTGTTATGGTTGATATAGTGGTGTCTCTGCATCATTTAATTTGTGTGTATATATTTTCCAAACAAAGTGCCTGTTTGTTTATCTTACCTGCTATTTAACTACATGTTTACTTCTTTTGTTATGCTTGTTATTGTTCTTTTGGTTTTTCCTCTTACAATAGTCTTCCTCCATTTATTTTTCTCTCTTTTTTGTAGATATCAGTATTCTTGTGTCTGTCTGTGTATCTTGAACTCCAATTATCAGCTCACCGTTTTGACATTGTTATAATTATGGCGTGCCACATGTTATGTAGGTGACTATGTGGAACACCAAACGAGAATAAGTTAGTGGGCGATACGAACTCATGTAGCAATTGAAACTACGAAACCCACGATAGATTAGATCAAACTCAAGAAAGCCAAGAATCAACGTTTGAAAAGCTCAACCCAATAAATTATTGAACCAAAGAACTAAGACAATCGCCAACAATATTTTGAAGTTCGGAATTAATTCAATGAAGAACGAGTTGAAAGAAATATGCATCGCAATAATATCTCTTAAATTGTGTTTTTGTAAAGAAAATAATAATCATATTTATATGGAATTCATAAAACCTAGTTAAAAACGGAATTGTTCCTAAAAGATATATATAAAAAAAATACCATAATAGAGTTTTAACTAAAATAGAAGTCTAGAGCCCATTTGGTACCGATTAAAATCCAATTAAAATTGAAAATATAGTCGTTATTGGACCCACTCATCTAATAAAAATCAACAATAACGGCTAATTTTTCAATTTTAATCCAATTTTAATCTCTATCAAACAGGCTCCTAGACGAAATTTGGAAAATCGCGTCCCAGTTGTGAACTATGCGGTCGCATAGGCGTAGAGCATGGGTCGCATGGGCCTTTCTTCAGCCTTTCAGTGTAATTTGAGTATGGAGGCATGCGACCACACTCATGTTTGTGCTATGCAGTCGCATAGTAGTCTGTCTTGCCTCCAAATTTGAGTTCTTGATTCAAATGCATTCCAACTTGTTTTCGCTTTCATGCCCAACATAGAACTTGATCTTTGGCTTGTTAACTTCACCTCTTGGACTCCGTAGATTGAACAAGTGATTGCATGGCTTCATCGACTCTGTTTGATCTCGAACTTGCCCTTAGCCTCTCCTCAACATACATCGAACCTTTGATAGCTTGTTGCCTTCCTTGGATCCTATTAGTGGGTATTAGCGTCCTAGTTGTTAATGCAGTGCTTTTACTCTTTGGTGATGTACATTCTTGTCTTTTCTCGTGTCTTATGATTCACATTTTCAATTAAATGTTTCGGTGCTTGCTTTCCATTTATATATGAAGATATACTTTATTAGTGTGTTACAAAACTTATGTGTTTCAATTTTTTGATTTCTTCCATGACTCAGATTGTCTAGGAAGACGGTTGGGGCCAAAGCTTCTTGGTCGAACTGATGATTCAGGGGTAAATTTTATATTTATTTTTCTTTTGTATTTGCTTGTATTGATTTGCTTTTGTCTAAGCTTCATTTAAATTAACATTTTGATGCTGGTAATTTATCAATTTGTTGTTCTTGTAGCAGAGGGTGGTTAAGGATTTCGTTAAGATCCTCAATCAAGTCAACTCTGAGAAAGTCCCCGATCGCTTGAAGCTCCCAGGATCTTTCAGTCAACTTGTTACTGAGATGAAAAACAACAAATACAGTACCAAGGAGTTTGCTCTGATCTTGAAAGGAATGGTACGTATCACCTGAAAAATGTTACTCTCTCTTGCTCTCTCTGTCATGCCATTTGACTGGCCTTATTTATGAACACATACCTTTTTGCAAGGATAGGCTTTCATTTGAATTTTGAGTTGAACTAGATTTCTTCTTTCCCTCATTTCACTTTTTCCACTCCAGAAGCCCAAAAACATTAGCATGTTAGTCTCCATATGTTTGACTTTGACTTTTCCGTGGTACTAATGTATC